GTCGCTATCTGCGTTTTTTAATTTTTTTTCTCCCGGACCAGACATTGGTGGCATCGCGAGTGATAATTTTTAATTTCAGTTTATTTACGCGCTGCAAGGTGCGTGAAAGAGCTCGGCACGATCGGTGTCGATGTTGGCTCGCTTGCAACTATTTTTGCAAAATAAAAATTAAGTGTTTTCGATCGAAATTGATATCGAAAGTGTACCAAAAGTGCTTCTGAACGTATTTCGCAGTTGGGTGTGATGAAATTCGTGAATTCGCGGTTTATGTTCAGTGAAAATTCCGTATCACAACGACGGGCTTGCAAGAGAAAAATAAGCATCGAGAATGTGCTCCCGGATGTATTGATTGGGTGAGTACGTTCCAGTTGAAGATTATTCTTATACATTTCTCGATTGCATTTTCGACGGGACGTCCGGGTAGCTTTGGGATTTGGGCGTTGTTGCTTTTGCGGGCATACGCGTTGGTCGCCGATTGCTCGCGGGTAGAAGCTTAGTCTCGCAAACAGACTATACCAAATGATAGAGGAATCATGTCTCTACCTGTTTGTGTTGTTAGTTTTTGAAGATGGGCGTGTCTGCTTTTGTGGGAGTACGTTTGATGATCGGTTTGGTGTGGCTGGTGGCTCGCCCGCGCGTGCTGGCGCCACTATCAGGTAGCGGAAAATTTCCCTGGTGGTGTTGGCGAGTTTTTATGTGTGAAGCCACTCTATTGAACATAAGTTTTGGCTGAATTTGGCGAGTTTGTTCATCACTTTCCAATGTGTATCCAGATCTAATTTACCCTTCCCACTAACAAAAACGTCCTTCCCGTGACAACCGAGGAGATACAGAGGTATACTCGGTCTCTAGTAGCAACGGTTGTTGAAATAACAATCCCTTCCATCCCCGATGACCGTAAGGATGTGGCCGGCGCCGTTATTGACCTATTATGGATTCTCCGGATTTTGTAGACTGAGAATGAATTGCTAGTCCCAAGCCCCATTCATATGGTTCTTTGTGCAAATTTCGCTAAATCTAGTCAATCACGGAGTAGCAACTACTGAAATGTATGGTCGTCAATGCATGATGGTAAACTTTTTTTTTTAAATGATGAAATATAAAACATGTTTTTACCCGTAAAGCTTCGTAAGAGTCACAGGAAAAAAAACTGGTTGTTGGATTGAACTTAGATTTTTGAAATATATTTTACCAATATTTTTAGAAAGCTCAAAACGTGCCAGAAAAATAAATGTTACAGTCTACAACGCTTAAATGGATTGAAAATAGCCCAAAATCAGCCCAAGCAACGCCAAAATGTTTAAGCAAAGCTAAACTCTTAACTCTTACTCTTAAAATAGTTATCGAAAACACCATGATGATCTTAAAAACGTCTAAATGGGCGAAACGCAAAAAAAACACACTGCTGCTCAAGCATGGGAAAAATCGTTCCATTTTGCATTCTCAACTCACTCACACGCATACAACATCAGAAACGAACAGCAGCTTGTGCGAGCCGGACTGATTTCGTTCGTATTCGCATTGCTTCTATTTTCTTCGATGAATGCATAATTGAGCAAAACAGACAGCTGAGCGTAACATGAATGATTCTGAATGTACTAGTGTGGATGATTCCTCTCTTATTATTTTTTCCATGCTGAGCCTTTTACGATTGCATTCTGCTGAGTGAGCTGAATGAGAATTTTGCAGAAAGAATCACTTTTTATTTTCTAGCTTTAAACATACATTGACACATTTGAATCGCTATTAATATCGAGAAAACTGTTATACTGTAACACACGTCACGCGTCACGCAAATAACTTAAAACTGCTGTGGCCAATTCAACTGATTTAAATCAGTGAGCCAAAAACTATCTGACTCGGCTATTTAAATCGTTAGCATTCGGATTTTACGCATTCAATCTGGTTCTCCCTCGCTAGAGAAAATTGTTCGGCTGCCTTTCAGTTTATCCTTCTTTCCTTCTACTGCTGTCAGTTCTAAGTCGAGCTGCAGAGCCACTTGGTAGGAAAAATTTACACTCGTTCGGCAATCTGTTTGTAGGCGAGGATGGCTATTTTGATTCTGTGGTGCTCGCGCGAGTGAATGAATTTTCCCATGCTTGCTGCTGCTCAAATTTTGGCAAACACCAGCTGCAAGGACGTGACGAAGACAACTTAGGGCTGTTGGAAAGAGAAACATTCCAAATAACAGATCTTCTTTTTAACAACAGTTTGGAACCCGTACCATTTACAAATTTGTGCAGCCAACCAAGCTGGTTTATATGCTATTTTTTCTAGGTTTCCTGAGCATTTAAAAAAAGTCTTTAATGAGTTGGATCTCCCTTTGACAATTACAGTCCTTTGGGTTATTAATAATATTCATTTCACTGTCACCAATTATTATTGTTGAACATGAATCAAGCTGGACTAATCAGTTTGTTAGACGCTTTGGGAAGTACAAGATATAAGAAAGCGTCTCTTCAATCAAAATCATAACTGTTTGGAAACTGAGTTTCCTCTGGAAGGTCTATATTTATTTCGTTTACTTCAAACTCGTTTATGAAATGTGTCAAAATCCTATAAGTTTTTAGTATTATTAGAAAAATTGTAAACGTAGCCCATTAAAAAAAATCACATTCAAACCAGAAGCATAATTTCAGTAAACCTTTATTTTATTTTATCTTCTGACAGTCTACAGTGAGTTCGATGCACCCTATTTTGAACAAGCCACCAGACATAAATCTTAATGTGTATTGCATTCTATTTACATCTTGTAATAAGAGCGTTCCGTTGGAAGGAGATTCTCAATCCCTACAGTGGATATCGTGTAAGTGCATCAGCTTACAGGTCCACACCTCCAATTTTGGCCTTTCGCAAAACGGAACAGTAAAGATTGTAGGGTTGCATAGTTTGATCTTGCCATTAAGAGGAATCGTACGTTATGGCAAGTCCTGCAATGGTAGTGGCTTCTAATCACATCACAATCACATCACCTTTATTTTATAGAGAAATGTGCAATTTTCAATTGTACTAAAATTTAAGAGCCCTTTGTGTTTCGTATGTGTGGTTTTCAACATAAGTTTTTGAAATGATTTTATAACTAAATTTTCTCTAATACTCATGCAAAAGATGAATAAATGAAACATTTTCCCACAATTGAACAAATATTTGATGAAAAACCCAATTGAATTGTCCCGGCCCTTTTTATTCACCCCGACAAACGGCTTTGGAGATGCGGCAAAATGTACATTTTTATTGCAGAGATATCGTCATAAAAATTGTATAGAGGAAGCTAATGTCATGACATTTTTTCTTATAACATTTTAATGACATTTACCACCTCTGGTTTCGACAGGCCTTCAATGAACGATCAATAGAATGGTAAAAATTACATCAATAATCGAACATTTGATTATTTTCACAAAGTCATACCCATAGTAAAGTCATAGTACATAGCATTTAAAGTTCTCAATAGAATTTCTTGAGCTCCATAAACATAGGTGGCAATTATTTGTATCTGCAATCCAAATCACCGGAATCGGCTTTAATTAAAAATCTAGGACAAAATAAAAACCCTCCAAGTGGCTAAATACCAGCCGAGTGTTCCAAAAACGGTACCTAGGCCCACAATCTCGCGTCTGTGATAGTGCAATTATTTCTGAGCGATGGCCGTTTGAAACCCGACACCACCGTGCTGTTCTCCATTATGATTATATTCCACTAAAATTAGCATAACTGGCATACAGCGTTTCGGACCAAGTTTTCTTTAAAATTCAACATCAGCTAACTGAGCACGAGCGGTGCGGTGTGTGAGCCAGTAGTACTCAGTAGCAATCGTATCCACCGTTGGCGTTGTTGTTTAGTAGACGGTAGCATTTAATGGAACCAGTTTCGACGAAAACAACCATTTTCAAACGTACCCTGAATGGCAAACACGCGGGTATTCTGCTAGGGTAAGGGGCGCGAAATAACTTTGAGCAGTGCCAGTGTGTATACAATTAACTCTGACGAAATCTGACTGAACTGACTCCGACTGGCTGACTGACGATTGAAGCGCTCTCGGAGGAGGTGGGATATTATATAAGGTGTGTTCTACACCAGCTAGGACAAAACAGTTTCTTCATTCTTGGCAACGCGAGACCAAAACAACCTGATACTTATTATTGGCAGCGCTCTGAGCCGTCAAAGATTCCTTGTTTGGGACGAGTGGTGGGTTGAGATATTTTTAGAATGCAACCACAATCGAGTGAACATCGACCGGCAGCTTTTTACACTGGAGCAGTGAAATGAAAACTGTAAGTTGATCCAGTTGCGAAACGAGCGCCAACTTCTAGAATAATCGAACTTAGTTAAAGGGTACATTCACTTTCGACTTTCAACGTTCTCAACCTGGTGGTTTTAATTGAAGGGTGCAATTATCTGCTATTAGACAGGTCTGTTGCGTTAAACAAGCTACCAATGAACATTCGCGTATCAAGAACGTTCTCAGCAGCAGTCTGCACGAGACAAAATGGGGGTCTCATTCGTCTAAACCCCACTCACACACGCCTATGGAGGTGCGGATCAAATTAATTCAACTAGAGCTTAGTGCACTGCCATTAGAGGGCGGCTGGATGAACGCACTCGCTTTGATCTTCCTTTTTCAAACTGCCTGCACTCATCATTGGTACACATAGATCACTCGACTCACTATCAATTTGTGCTTTTCAAAGCGGAAACGAAAGAGCATTTTGAGACGATAATTGAATGCACCAGCTTCGAGGGATAATCTCACTGCTAGCATCGCACCCGCCGCGGGTAATGAGTTAATTATACAGCATATACGCAACTGCCGATATTGAAAAAAAAAAAAACGAGAGCTAGCTACCTCATAATTCTCGGTTGCATAATGAATCGTCACAAAACGATGGAACGCGTAATAACCGACGGAAGCTGGAATCAATGCTGCTGGACGTTGTAGATGGTGATGGGTAAAACCCTAGTATGAAAAAAAAAGTGTAGAGTAACTGAATGGGACTTACCATAGCTTGCTCGATCTTGTTGTCAATTGCAACTGCACTTGTCCCAGATGCACTGTAAGTAAAGGAGAGAAAGGAAAATGACAATGAGAAAATTGCACCCCTTGGCGGTTGTTTGATTCATGTTCGGATGTGTGGAAAGGTTTTGTTTGTTTGATGGGGTGTGGGAAAATTGCGAATGTTTGTTGAGTCATCCAATTACCGTTTCCTCCTTCGAAGCAAAAGGAATAAGGCATATATACCAGCTGTGGTGATACTTAGGAATATAACAATTGAATTATGTTTTAAGTAAGTTCAACATTGCTCTTGTTGGAGGAAATATTATACCGGATGGTTTAACGGACGATGTCGATGTCAGTGGAGTTGAGCATCATCTTTTCGTTTGTGCTTTTCAAGAGGGATTGAGTGATATTGTGCTCAATAGGCTATAACCGGTCAAAATCATAGTAAATAGTTAGTTGACCTAACATTGTACAGATGAAGTCTCGTTGAACCAGGAAAGGTGAGGTAAAGTACATAGTCGAAGATAGATAGCGTGGCAGGAGTAGCGATGTTGACTGTAGAGGGAAGATTCGTAGAAAACATTTAAATGCTTGACGAAATGTCATGCAAAGCAAAACATAATCACAAATTTTGTATAAACAGAGTAGCCAGTTCATCTCAATTCTAAAATTCCCGCATTTTTTCCAACATCCCGACTCAGCTGCAGTGGCAAAGTTATAATAATTATTGCTGTCAATGGATATCAAAATGGCATTTACGTCGACTTAAGGCGAATGAATCGCTTTGGAAACCTTATTTATGATTGATCGCATTAACACCTCGAAATTTCAAGAAGTCAGTGCATCATGTTTTTGTCAATAAAAGCAAACACGCTCAAAAAAAAACAAACTATAGATTTCACCATATTGAATATATTTAACAGATTTTTGTTTTTTTTTTATAGCCATGCAAAGTAAACTTGTGAATACATCAAAGCGCATGTGAATTTAAAAACGTGTAAGAGTTTCCGTCTAATCCGAAGACACCACCACAATTTAATGGGAACTTGCACTTTTATAACTTTTTTCTTCGCTTTTTACATTTTTGGGGTAATCTGGATAATTTAACTTCAAGTTGCAATAAACCATATTCATTAACTTAGTTACCCCTAAAAACTAAAGCAGACGACAATGTGCATATCATAAATACAATATTTGTCAGCACAATGCATTAAAATACTCGTTTATAATTTAAAATCCGTTACTTTCTGGGCTAACATAATTTGCATTATAGAGCAGCGAAAATAATTGAAATTTTGAAACGACCTTTTCTGATTTGTATGAAACTTTGCGTAATTGTTCGTTATGAGCAATGATTCACATTTTTTTCTGGGATCATCTAAAATGATCAAAATTGGCTCTGAAATTTTTCAAAAAACTGTTGCACTGAAATGTCATTTCTTATATGCGATTAAAAAAAAACAAAAAGTGTTTTTTTATTTAGGGGAATTTACGTATTCTCGTCAATCTAAGCAGTGTCCGCACTTCTATTAGCATTTTCCCAACGTCACGCACATATATGACGTGTCTGTTAGTTTACATTCATCTGCTGCTTGCTTCTCTATCCATTCTAATCGACAGAATTCTTCAAAACTGTTTGAAAGGGTTTTTACAACGCTCCAAACTTCTCAGGTGAGTGTGACTATTGTCGGCAGCCTCGTTTTCTTCGGCAACCTTCCCATTAGAACTGCGTGTTAACCAGCTGTTCTATTATCGGCAACTTGAAATCAACCGCATTTTAGAGTACGTATGCTTCATTTGAATACAAATCTGGCATAACAGGACTGCTCAGACGTACACATACAATCAGATTGAAGCTGAAAGACTAAAGAATCGTTTGGATGCATTCAGGGAAGTGTGTTGATGGGAAAACATAGTGAAATTAACGTTTAAATTTTGGTTGCCGAAAACAGTCAATGGGTGCCGAAGCCGACATTTACCCTATGTTAAGTAAAAATTAAAAAAGAAATATCACAAAACCAAATATCTAAAAAAAAATCTTGCCCGATTTTTGATTTTAGACTATGGCTTATGAACAATGAAAACTTTTGGAATATTCAAAACCATAGACACTTGAAAACTGACAAAACTCGTAAAACTAAAACTTTAGGTAAAATGTTTGAACTTTTCCTAGTACGATTTGATGTGTAACATTATTTTCTGGGTAACTTTTATTAAAAAAAATTACCAAAAGTTCATGTTCTACGTTTTTTGGCAATTTTTAAGTGTCCATAATTTTAAACATTTCAAATGATTGATTTTATCATAAGCGTTTAAAAAAAATAAAATTTGACGTTTTGATATAATCGATTGTTTTGACCATCTTAACATGGAAATGGTCACCCTAATGAGAAAAAAACGCGGGCCTAATATTGCGATAAGGAACATAGCTACAATTTTTTACTAAATTCTGAGAACCACTATATCGGTTTTGCTATGGAATGGCTGATAGTATGTTGCAACAAGATCAATGATACTCTATGCCCAAGCCAGCTTAATCCCAATTGATTTCAAACAGCTCATTTTGTAATAATTATAATAAGGGTAAACACTATGCACATCGTCGTAGCATATATAATGTCGTATAAATACCAGGGTCCATCGAAATATAATAGGGGTATTCACAAAGCGCATCGTAAACGTATAAACCCTCGTAAATGCGTAAACTTCCATTACACTCCAATTGACCCTGCTATTTTTACGATAGTGTATATGTTTACGATGCGCACAGTGAATACCCCTAATGGGAGTTTACACATTTACGAGGTTGTAAAATGTTTACGATGCGCTTTGTGAATGCTACTAATATCTTTAGCATATGTAAAATATCTATGCCTTGCACTATTTTAAACAGCAATCAATCATTCTAACAACTACATATATTCATCAATTTACCCGACCTACTGCCGCACTCTGCCAGCAGTTGACCTCGTTTCTATAAGAAACCACACTGACTACTACTGCCCAATATCAGCTACCTCACGCACGAGGTTACTTAGCTTCGACCTCTTCCACCCCTCCACCGTTTCCCATCATCCTTTTATATTTCCATAGAAAAAGCAAGATCCACCACCCTTATTGGTTCATCAGTTTCATCGCAAAGTGTTTTGCTCGCCCATTCGCTTTGTCCGCACTTCGTGTTTGATGTGTGCGGCAGTTGCCAATTCTTTAAATGGTCAATAATGGGCTCTCGGGGTGGTTGTGAATTTGACCATTTGGTTTTCACTACCACATTGCACCTAGCTTCCACGGTGGGTACTTTCCATCACCATCATATTGGGTTTTTTCGCAATGCCTTCCAAGTGCGGTCAGCAAGTCAAGCTTACATTTAGGCCAGTTCCATCATCACCCGCTAGCAACGTGCCGGAATGAATGCAGCAATTGGAGTAAAATAGTTTTATGCTATGCTCTTTGGGTGCATGCATATGCGCGTATGCTACTGGGAAGGTTTATGTTGTTTACGGACAAGCTAAGTCGTAACTTAGAACGAGCCACTTGGTTTTAATTAATCAAGTTTCGGAGCCGCGTATTCTCGTTCGCCTGGTGCAGTTTGGTGCATTCATTCGGTTGGTTTGGTCTGATGAAACGAGATTGTTTACGACCACTTTGTCTGAATGCAAGCGCTCCCCCTATGGTTAATTTGATAGTGAGCAACGACAACAGCTTGTTTGTGATGTGTTTCTGTGGAAATGGTTTTAGTCCGATTGTTTTGTAGATTCAATTTAAGATAACTAGTGTTTATGGAAAGTAAGTAGCTATTGTTGGCTACTGCATAGTAGTAGTAGTAGTGCCAGAGATACACTCATTAAACCAATGATGTAAAAAAAGGCAACTGTCCAGTATTAAACCATATTAGTGCTGGATCATTGTGCCGAACGACGTTAGGCCGAAATATACATTTTTACGACTCATGGTTTAATGAAGACAAAATCTGATGTAAAAAGAACTTATTTAAAAACATATCAGATCTCGATTTTTTTCTTGAAAAATTGATCCAAAAATTAAAAATCAAAAGAGAGAACATTTAGAGGTTATGTTCTGTAATTTTGAGTCCCAGTACAGACTGAATCTTAAATATTATTCCATGTCCCATAATGTTAACAATTTGGTCTCCAGGACAGGATTTTTTCCAAGTCTGTGGACCTGACTAAGATTCTGCAATTATGCAAATACATACTAGCAGAAAAAAAAATGTTACATTTTTTTTCAGCTCCTAAAATTTCAGATATTCAGGATCCCTATAATAATTTTCCATGGACAATTTATAGTGTTACCGCATTACCAAGAAGGGATGATGTAAAAGTATCATATTCTTTTCATCACCGCTGGCCATTGGCCTGCGGGGCAAACGACTGGGTAATGCGTACCACCAGTACCGCGAGTACTTGAAGGATAAAATAGACCCCATTAGTGGTCCATTAGCCTCTTACCCAGTAACTCCTATCCCTACCTCCTCGTGGTGTCTCCTGGGATATGAGCAACCTTAGCGAAGATCGGGTAACCAACCCCGGTGGGAGCTTTGGTCATATGCTGACAGGGAAGGGGGCCCCTAGCGGGTTCGGCCTACACGGCCTGAGCGTCTGTTCACCATGGAGGTGCGGCTCAAACAGCGTCTGACTGGCATCCAGCGGCTGAATAAGAAATGCTGTATTGTGTCAGCTAAATCTAAGATGGCAGCCCCATCTACACAATAACTGAGCGTCTGTCCACCATGGAGGTGCGGCTCAAACAGCGTCTGCCTGGCATCCAGCGGCTGAAACAAGAAATGCTTATCCCCGAAAGCTATACCCAAGATGGCAGCCCCATCACGGCGGATAGGAGACCTTAGGCTAACTACCTACTGTCCCCGAAACTTTACAACTGTTACAGAAACCAATAGAGAAAGATCACGGACTGATATTACGGCAACGACTTTTAGCGCAAAACAACGGACAAGAATTGGAACATGGAATGTACTAACGCTAGCCCAACAGGGGAAGCTGGCACAACTCGCCAGCGAGGCTCGACGCATGAA